GCGAGCTTTTTCTTTATAGCTTTTGTAAAAACTTGTTATGTCCATATACAGGGTGAGTCAATTAAAGTGTTACAGACTTATATCTTGGAAATGAATAATTTTAGAGAAAAATGTTTCAGACAAAAGTTGTATGGTGTCAAATGGGACATAAGAAGGTATCATTGATTAGACCTTGATTAGCCATTTGAAGGTTACGTGAAGGTCACCAACAATTTTTCAAATGGAACACCCTACTTTTTTGGCATATTCTTATAACATATTTCAAGAGCTTTCCAAAACACTACAACAAAGTATTTTTTTGTTAAGTACATCCCGAGTTATGAAGCTTCAAATTTACAGTATCGTCGGCATTAGCATTACCCAAGATGTACCGCGTGGAGGTTGCACGATCGGATTTATACCTCTTTGTATGTGTGTGTGTGTGTGTGCGTGTGTATGTGTGTGTGTGCGTGCGAACGCACACACACACATAATTGACTCACCCTTTAAAAAAAATTTGAATTTGAAGTTTCTAAAAATAACACAATACATGTTGCGCTTGTATGAGTTTTACTTGTAATTTTATATATACGTCACGTACATACATCATTAATATATAAATGTTATTAATTTATACTTGTTAATTATCCAACTAAATCGCCTAACACCACTTATAAATTGTATGAAGCGGTCTTTATAATTGAAGGCCGATCACCCTGGACGACGAGTCAATAAACACCGGTATTGATTTTTCGATGGCATAGCTCATCACATCGTCTGCTCAGCATCAGCTGATCGGCAATCAAATGATATACGTCATAACATACCAAAGCATACCAACATTCTCATCTTTTTATGCCTCTCTCTTTCACCTCTCTCGCCCGTTCTCTTTCTCGCCTGTTCCCACTCTCACTCCCTCTCTCTCTCTCTCTATCTCTCTCTATCTCTCTCTATCTCTCTCTCTCTCTCTCTCTCTCTCTCTCTCTCTCTCTCTCTCTCTCTCTCTCTCTCTCTCTCTCGCTCTCTCTGTCATACATTTTCACCTCTTCTACTGTAGCAATATTCTTCTCTCTCTTACTCTCTATCGCTTGCTCACTCGCACTCACTGCTCTTTGCTTCTTCAGCGCGCTCGTAACACCTCTGGTGTCGGAAAAACGAGATGCACAAATCTCCTCTCCTCAGCGGTTTAGCGTTTCTTTCTTACTTTCTTACTGAATCGTAATTTTCCGTAATTTGGACTTTGTCTTAAAATATATGTACTTGGAGACAACGTACACAAAAAACACTAGGACACTTTTCTTCCTATTTTTTAAGGCTGAATCGATTAGGACTAAAAAACGTCGATCGGTTCAACCACTGCTAAGATATGAATATCTCATCTCGTTTCAACTCGCAGTTTCGCGTATAATAGGCACGGTGTGCCTCTTGATACAATATTAAGACAGTAGACAATATTAACCAGTAGAAACAGATCTGATTAAAATACACAAAAGTTCCATACCGTTTTGCGATATTCGCAATAATGATCAAGTTATTGATTATAGAAATATGATGAATGAGCGCACGCCGAGACGATTGGTAGAAAATTAGTCAGTTCAAATTATAGCGCGACACAGTTGGTATTACCAGCAACTGTTACTGGCATGCAGTAAGATAAAACTAATGCAAAACCGAATGACAGTGCGGTGTCTTTCCTCTCGCTGCACATCGATAACAGTTGTTAGATCGATTGAGCACTGCTGACCCGAACGATTGAAATTCTCATCCAATATCATCTCAGCATATGCTCATTCACCAAATTTTTATAATTAACACCACGATAATTACTGCGAATATCACAAAGCGGTATGGGACTTTTATGTATTAATCAGTTCCATGCCTTCATCAACTATGGCTATAAATTACTAAACACTCTATATAAATTAACGTAAAATATCATTTGTTGATAATATCATTCAGTCATTTGCAGATACTGGCAAGGGTAAGGATCTTTTATACCTACCTACGAAATAATATTAAATGGGACTTGCAGAATTTAACGAAACAGAAAAATGCACTATTTAGTAAACTTTTGTCGATAAGTGCATCGACATATTCATCGGTAAATTTGCATTAAATACATTGATGATAAGTGCAATAATATTGTTGCACACAGAAATATATATCAGGTGTAGTAAAAAGAAATCCATTATTTTTGCATGAAATTGAAGGCTTTAATTACCATAGTTAGAATGATCCGATTTAGATCAAATATGCGCCGTTTTGTTCGATAACTTGTTGCCATTTTGAAGGTAATTTCATTATGCCTCTCTCATAGAAGCCCTCGTCCCTATTGGCAAAAAATTGAGACAGTCGATTTTCACAAGCCTCTCTTGAAGCGAATTTTTCACCAGCAAAATTGTTCGCCATGGACAGGAACAGATGGTAATCACTTGGTGCCAGGTTCGGACTATAAGGTAGATGCATAAGAACCTTCCAACCAAGCCCCCGGAGCTTCTGGCGAGTCACTATCGATGTGTGTGGCCTGGCGTTGTCCTGATGGAACACAATTCCTCTCCTATTGGCCAAAGCTGGTCGCTTCTGGATGATTGCTTCCTTCAGACGGTCTAATTGTTGACAGTACAGTTCCGAGTTAAGAGTTTTGCAGCTCCCGTAGGGAGCAGCTCATAGTAGATAATTCCCTGCCAATCCCACTAAACATACAGCAAAACCTTCCTGGCCGTCAATCCTGGCTTGGCCACCGTTTCCGCCGGCTCACCGCGATTCGACCACGACCGTTTTCGCTTGACGTTGTCGTAAGTGATCTACTTTTCATCACCAGTGACCAACCGCTTCAGAAATGGGTCGATTTTGTTGCGATTCAGCAGCGATTCGCAGATGGAAATTCGGTCCATGAAGTTTTTTTGCGTTAACTCGTGTGGCACCCATATATCGAGCTTCTTTTTGTATCCAGCCTTATTCAAATGGTTCCAAACGGTTTTTTGTGCAATCTTTAACTCTTGGGCAATCGAAACAGTGCTTACATGACGGTCGGACTCGACAATGTCCATGATTTTATCGATATTTTCGACAATTGGCCTTCCAGTGCGTGGTGCATCTTTGACATCGAAATTACCGGAACGGAATCGACGAAACCAAAATTGCGCGTGATTGGCTGTTACAGTATCAGGACCATAAACACTATTCACATTTTCAGCCACCTGGCTTGCATTTTCGCCTTTATTGAAGAAAAACTGTAAAATATAGCATATTTTCTCTTTGCTAGTGTCCATCTTTGACGCGCGCTCAAACAAAACTGAGTCAACTAATCACAAAACTGTCAGAAAAGTTTTTTTAGTATGAAATCTCATCTTTCTAACGCCATCTAGTGGAACCCGATCGGACTTATACAACGCGAGATACAGATAACTAAAGCCATCTATTGGAAAAATAATGGATTTCTTTTTACTACACCTGATAGTATTTCGTTATAGACTTGTGAATATACAATATCGAGAAAGGTATTTATCAATAATAGAAGAAAATGTGTCACATGAATAAATCGAGCCGGTTATGTGTGCATGCGTGGTAGGGAAAATCAATAAAGAACCATCGACACTGGCGTTATTAGTTCTTGTGCACGATTGTACAGAGAGCGTTTCGCATTTGGCTCAGCCAAGGTCCGTAAATAGAGAGACGGAGAATCAGGTCCTTTCATTCCACTTCACACAGTTTGGCTCGAAAATGGCGGCGACTGTGGCTCAGCCATAGACATATAATATATAGACCGCGCATTCGCAACATTTTCTTTGTCTGCACATGTTCAATATTAGAAAGAGGTAGCATGCTTTCGTAGAGCAGTCTATCTCTTTCTAACGATACGTAGTGGGGTATTTGGCCCCTCCGCCTGTTTAGAGTGGAGTTCTATATTCAAAAGAGACAACATGCTTTCGTTGGGCAATCTATCGCTTTCTGACGATGCATAGTGGGGGTAAAACAGTCTTCCGTGACAGGGGAAACAGAAATAGGAGAATATAGAGAAAAGAGAATTGTGAAAGGCAAAAAGAAGAAAATACGTCTGATATAAATACACGCATATGGAAAAATGATGATTTTGTATGGAAAAATGATGAATATGGACATATGACGATGGGTATAATTACATACCGGTGGAAAATAATCTGTTTGTCACTTTTATATGCATTACTGCGGCATACACAACAATATAGACTCATTGTGTTACGATTATACTTTTTGTGTTATGATTATACTATTATGAGTAAATACGTTTTATAATATTTAATGTCAATCGTCTTGTTTACATACGCTTTGTTTTACGAAAAGAAGGAGAACCGGAGATATAACACTCCACTCTAAATAGGCGGAGGGGCAAAATACCCCATCACGCATCGTTAGAAAGAGACAGACTGCTTTACGAAAGCATGCTACCTCTTTCTAATATTGAACATGTGCAGACAAAGGAAACGTTGCGAATGCGCGGTCTATATATTATATGTCTATAAGTATCACGTACGGTCGCGGACATAAAGGTTGTCACTTTTTTTTTAATGACTTTCGGGACGCATCCCGACTCGAGAAAGATAAGCTGCTGCTCCGCCTGCGGAGCACGCTTACGCAGTAACTCACAACGAAAGGCGAGAAATGAAATATACGTGGTATGACATAAGTATATCAACAATCATTACGTTCAGCGGAGAAAACCGCTCAGTGAGCGATTAGTGACTAAATAAATACGATTTCACTTAAAATTTAATATACATACCTGTTCAATACCTTGCAAAAAACGCATTCCCATTTTAATGACTTGCACTATGTATCTATCCCTCCGCTGCTGATTTTTCAAAATGTAAGAATTGGGTGCGTTCACAACACTCAACGGTTGAGCAATTGTTGAGTAATTTGTCAACGTTATTGGTCTGAATGTAAGGATCTAACAGTAAGGACCAATAGTCACTAATCGCTCATTGAGCGGTTTTCTCCACTAAACGCAATGATTGTTGACATACTTATATCGTACCACGTATATTTAATTTCTCGCCTTTCGTTGTGAGTTACTGCGCAGGCGTACTCCGCAGGCAGAGCAGCAGCTCTCATCTTTCTCGAGTCGGGATGTGTCCCCAAAGTCATTAAAAAAAAAGTGACAACTTTTATGTCCGCGACCGTACACCTATACAGATTCTCTGGCTCTAAAATGGCGGCCATGAGAGGACCTGACTTCGTTCTGTCTCTATTTGCGGACTTTAAGCTCGGCTAACAGCGGACTATGACACCTCTCCTTCTTCTCTCTGAATATAACATATATAGGCTGCGTTCCGAAATTTACTACCAGTGCTGAAAATATATAGTTTGTCATGTATATTATAGAATTTCAGTACTGGCAGTGAATAGCCGGACATACACACAGGACGCGACACGCTTGCCGCGTAGCGGAAGTTCACTAGGGAATATTGCGGTAGCCAATCATAGGGTTTGTTCTTTTCAGCTAAACTAGAGTGCGGTCCGGCAACCGCTACAAATGCTTTGAAGCGTTTTTCTTTCTCGTTCTATTTCTCGGATGCAAACGAAGGAAGAGAGAGAAGTAAAAACGCTTCGAAGCATTTGTAGCGATTGATGGACCGCACCCCTAGTGCTGCACTTGAACTGCATTGGTTCAGAACTAGAACTGACGAGTATAGCAAAAGTTCATAGGTGCAGTGATGCCAGATAGAATGGAAAAGAACGCCACAATACAGAAAACAACATGGTGTTACTCGTTGTCTAGTTAATGATTCTTCAGATGAAAATGATTATATTTTATCTTTATTGCACCACTATTACACGCATAACCTATCTGGGATGAAGAACATGATGGTAATATATTGTTATCCCATGTTTAATAATTAATTAACATTAATAAAGAAAAAACTGCAGAAGTATCTAATCTAATAACTGTACTTTAGTTGATGAATTACGAATATTACATCTCGTTTGTGGAATGATAACGTCTTATTATAAATTCGCATGTACATATAAAAAATTTTCATATTAATCCAATTCGTATAAATCCTCGTCACATAAATTTTCGTTAAATCCAATTTGGTTTGCAAATAGAACAAATTAAATACTATTAAATACTTTACTTTTTAACAAAATAGAACAAAAAGTTAATAAATAAAACAAAAATAGAGCATTTGCAAAAAGAACAGATTTACAAATAAAACAAACAAACTACTTTCTAATAATTATTTTTAATAAAACAAAAAATAAATAAATCGTTGCCGATTTGATGCACGTTATTTTCCATATTTATTTATTACTGACAATGAAAGATTCAAAAGATAAGATTTATGTATGTGTATGTATATGTATTATTCTAAAGCCAACAGCACACGGTGTTTGTTTATGTGCGGGATTGTTTGCTGGATGAAAATATTGCATTCTGATTGGTACATTTCCATCCATCTTCGAAAATGTACCAAAATTAGAAATATGTAAGTCTTTTGTTCACCTCCGTGGCGGTTGGATATGGTTCCTGTAACTATGCATATTTTTTTATATAAATTTTGATATGAATTTTGATATGAATTTTTGATTGAATGCATACATAGGGACTGCATATGCATTGTCTGTTTTTCTTTTACCTCCATATTACTGGAAAATAGCCTTACAGAATTTCATCTATCTACACTGTGAAAGTGGCGTTGGAGCAGTACCCTATTTTGCCCCAGAGCCATTTATTGAATTGAATTGAATAGAAATACGTAGTATATATCATATGTTCTATGCTTAAATTTCAACCCCATGTTTGTTTCTTTCTAAGTTCTAACAATTTATATTAATCAATAATAAGAAACAGACTATATTTGTCTTCGAAGATGAATGAAATTATATAAAATAAATAGGACCATAACACATGCAAAAACATAAATGGGAAGTATATACAAGAACACATAAATTATATGGTGTTAAGTACTTTAAATACTCAGGACAAAAGTAATTTTAATTTTAGATAATTATGAAGTTACTTATACCTTTATTTCATATACTGTAGAAAGCTTTATTAAAAGATATTTATTAGGAAACTTTACAAAAAATTCTAAAAATGTGTAACAAAAATTGATTTATTTAAAAACTCATAAATTTTAATATAACCTAGAAATTATAGAAGTATAATTTACAATATTTACTCATCAGTGAAGTTTTTTGTTAAATATATAAATCATAAATATAATAATACAAAAGTACATGCTTTCTCCATATATTGAAAGAGATATAATATGTTCTAACATATAAAGTAATATGTAAAATTATGTGTGGAACTATTTTTTAATTATGAAGTCATATTTTTATCATCTATCACAATATATTTCTTTAAATATATTCTAACAATTTTATTATTTTACACATACATGTATTATTATATATTCTATCTCAATACTTTTCTATATATATACAAGAAAATATTATATTATTAAGAAAAGACAACTTATTAATTGAGAATGACATCATTATTAAAGTCAGATATAACTGGTAAAATATATTCTACATTACAGCTTCACAAAATTCTATTCAAATTTTGTACATTGCATGAAAAAATAATTTGGAAACTGCTGTTTTAATCTGATATAACTATTATTGCCTGAGTTCGATATATTATTCTCATTCTTTTTATTTATCTTTTAAATCTTCTTTATATGTATATATGTTCTATTATAAAAATATATTATTTTGACTAAACATAATTTATATCATACAATATTGATTAACGAATTATTAACATCTATATTTTACTTCCAATCTATTTTAAATGAAATTATTTTTTATAGATATAGAAAGTATAGACGATTATTATTCTCACTCAACCAAAATAAGCACCACAATTTGAGCAACGTTTTGTCTTCAATAGCATACAGCAAACCAGCCCAATGGGAAAGAAGAGAATTGCACAAAGAAGACCAAAAAATGTATAATCATCTTCCATCACACCTACCTATATTGTACAAAAATAAAATTTTGATATATAAATTATTTTTAATACAGAAAGATAAAAAACAATAATAATAAACATTAAATAACATTGATACATACTCTGCATGCAGGACAGCCACCAACCAAAATAATTTCTGGAACAATTACTGTTGTGGAATGTGTAGCACCATATGATGGAACATAATTTCCTTGATTATTAGTTTCAGTATTGTTAACATAGTATCCAGGAGGTGGTTGCCATGATGAATTCACTACTAAAAATTATAACTTATTAAATTCTTTGTAACAACTTATTGATATAGGAATGATAAAAAGAGCTTATAATAAAGATTTTATCTATCCATAATAATAGAATAAAAGAAATCAAAGATAATGGAATCATAAGGAAATTCCAATTATTTTCTTCATCCTTGAAAAAAAATAGAGTAATTATTCATTTTAACAGACACAGCTTTTATACCTTTAATCTTAATATATGTTGTCAAAAATATTCTTTAACATAATTTCTAAAAGATTTTAGTAGTTCGTTAAGAAGTATTAACAATTAACATTTAGAAATAATATCGTTTAAGATAAACATGACATAGATTCAATTAAATTAGTTAAAAAATAAACTTTTTGATAAACAAAGGTTGACAATTGAAACTTTTTGAAAGTTACAAGATGTCCTTAATAATATATGTCAAAATCAAGATTAACTCATGTGATTTACTTAAACAAAAATTATCTGAGGATAATTCAGAGCATATATTTATAATGACATAATTAATTAATTTGATATACTTATAGGTTATTTACAAAGAAACATGTTAATCATTTACATCTCTTTACAATAATATTTCAAGTTCATCCTTTACAGAAAAGTTAATATCAATGTAAACTAATCAATCGTAATTATATATTACATACATTTCGAAGACATTATTGTAAAATAAAATAATATAAAGAATCAAACATATATATATATATGTAGATATATATATATATATATACATATCTATGAGATGCAAAACAAATCTAACCTAGGAATAAGAAATTATAACATACCTGCTGGAGCCGTTGCAATAGAATATGGTGGTGGTTTTTCAGATATTTTCAGTGGCTGAATCTCCATAATTGGTTTATAATAAAATTGGTTTATACTGCTTAATAGAAATAACGTAGATATAAAAAATATGGATACTCGTCTTTTAGGCTATTCTTTCTTGAAGAACCATTGTATATTTCCGAAACTTAAAGAGAAAACAGCATTTAAAGAGCTTCCTACAAGTCGTTAGTTATAAATAAATTAACCAATTACAGTCAATATTCCAAAAAAATCATCAATTATGACCAATCACATTTTCAATTTATAATAAGATATAATAAGTGATGGTACAATGCATTGACTATAGAATACATGGATGGAGCCTAAAGTACTGATTTAAACGAGAGGAGCGGTAATAATAGCGGAAAGGGGATCACTATTGGTCTGTTCTTTGTAGCTGCACTGTTGAACTGGTGCAATAAGTTAAAGTAAGTTAAAGTAAGTAAGACAAATATAGATTTTCTCACTTTAGCTTATTGCACCAGTTCAGCAGTGCAGCTACAAAGAACAGACCATATATTGACTTCGATAAACTTCGTTTCTCTTCGGTAAGATTCGGCTCATACTCTATATGTGTTGGTGTCGGTAACGGGTCTGTTCTTTATAGCTGCACTGCTGAACTAGTGCAATAAGTTAGAATGAGAAAAAATATAGTTGTCTCATTTTAACTTATTGCACTAGTTCAGTAATACCTCGTCTACAATAGAAAGTTCATTCTACAATACGTGTCGTAAGTTGTAAGCCGTAAGAACTGACCAATTATAGCCGATTATTTTTGTAATAATCGACTATGATTCGCCAATTTTTACGACTTACAACTTACGACACATGGAGGTAGGAATATTTGGAGGAAGCATATTTCTCCGGTGATGAAGCCTAAGGGGAAAGGGGAGTGTAAGTCTATTGTAACGTATATGAACTACCAAGATGGCGATAGCAGTGACGGTGATTACATGGAATATCTATTGCAACGTCTTGGAAATACAACTTTCACATGAATAAAAATAATAAATTGAATTTGATGCATTGTGAGAAAAAGTAATTTCAGAGAATAAAAATATAATCAATTTACGTATGGTTTATTATGAAATGTATAAAACGTATGACAAAATAAAAATTGCATTATAAATGTAATATAATTATAAAAGTAAATTATAATTTTATAATATAGTTATAGTTATAGATTATAACGCATGTCTTACTTTTTATTAACATAAAAGAAATATAAATGTAAACGCAAAAACTACCAACACAATACAATGTTATAATTTTCTATTCAAGATGCAACTGTTACGTAGGATGCACATTATGATATTGTATAATTAGAAATTAGAACATGAGTGTAATGTTACTGTTAGTTATTGTTTACTAGAATTATTGTCCCTTAAACAAAACTATTTTGTTAAATGCTTGCCTTATACTTATGTTATCACGAAGTATATTACGCCCTATAAAATGTAATCTTATTTTAATATATTTAGAGGCGATTGCTCTCATTATATGAAACACATGATTTTCTAAAATTGTTTGATCACGAGAATGTTCTTCTATATTTGAGAAAATATTTCTATTTTCAATGAGACGTTGCAAAACCTGATTCAAGAGATAAATTTCTGTAAATTTTTTTTATAAACATTTATCGCCACTTTCACGCAAAGCTAAACGAATTGCAATTTCAGCTTTAGTACAAATTACAATTACATCGTGTGAAGGCAATTTTAAGCCCCCACGATTTTTAATATTAATTAAAGAACATTCGATATGTGTTTCGTTGCCAGTAAGAGCTTCGATACAAGTTTCACAATGTAGAATTTTTTCTAAATGTCTTACAACAAAACCTGCAATATAAGCTATAACTCTCGTTGCAAATTCTGAAAGCGTTATTGTATCAAGCAAAAGAGGTAAATTTTCGTTGCTATCTTCATGATTGCTATCATCTATTACTCGAGATTTCGGAGTTGACTGATTTATTATAGTTACAGAATTCGCAGAAACATGTAGTATTGAAATTATTTCTAACGGGATGCAATTACCAGTTGCTGTCTCTGTGATCTCTGTATGGACAAAAATTTGTTTTTATAAGCGGCTTTAAATTGCCGAGCCGTCGGGTTATTGTTAGGACCTCCATGAGCTCGTATAGAGCTGAATAACAATTCAACGTGATCTTGGTTAAATTTATAACCTGGTATATATTTTAATACGTCTTGACTAACAACTAAATCTTTATAAAGTATTGTTATACTTTTGATACATATCATAAAACCGAGGAATGCACATTTATTTTTAGAATAAATCAACAATTGACCATCTGTCTTTCGCAATTGTGATAGGAAATTATAGCCTTCTTTTAATTTTTCCAAAATTATAGAACTATTGTTTTTATTTAACGGTTGTTTGAACCCTATCTGTTTCATGTTCCTCGAATTTAAGATATCAAAAAGATCATTTATTATTCGAATGAATCTCATCGTTGGGACCGAATTTGCAAATTCTGGATATCGTAAATCATTTTTACAAATTTCTAATGCATCAGCTACAGAGTTATTGAAGATTTACACTGCGAGTTTTACTTCATTTTTTGTTTATGGTATTGTATATGACGCGTTCTTAATTTATTACCCAAGTGTAGACTTTCCTTAACTTGAATATCATTAAGCTTCGTAAAATGTTCCCATTGGATCATATCACCATTGTCATCAATTATTGATTTATGTTCTCCAATACAATTACGTAACAGTTTCACACAATGGCATGGGTCGAGAAATACAATAACTTTTCTGTCCGTTATCGGATGAGAGAAATAAGTCTGAAAAGATGTAAAGTTAAAATTACATCCTAAAAGTGTGCACATGGTTAAATTAGCTGGAGCCCCGTCAAAAGTTACAGATACTATATTTATTTCATGCTTATGCAATAGTATTAATGCCTGACGAACCATATTGAACTTTTGCTCAGCATTCAGACCAGAAATAAAGAAATATCCAATGGGAATTTTCCAGGATCCATTAATACAATTTACAAGAAACACTAGTGCTTCTTTTGCTATTATACCGTATTCACAATCAATATTAGGCCCCAAGTCTATATATCCACAATGTTTCTCATCATCATATTCTACATGTTGCCTTACAGCCATTTCATCGAATATAAGAGCGCCAAAAAGAGGATAATTTACTAAATTAGCACGTTTCTTAATTGACTTCAATGCTTCCTCGTTAAAACCAGGTTCACCGTGAACCGACACCTTGAACCGACCATTTACTTATTGTTTTTGGATGGGGCAAACAAGTATCAAATTTTTTTCGAACAAATGCATACGCTCGTGACGAATAAAAGTACAATGTTAAAGCAAACGATCTTAATTCTGGCCTATACTTTTTAAGCGTTGGAGTTTTATTAATCTTATTAATTTGACGTTTTAATAATTGTTTGTTGAAATTACCTAAATCTGTTAAAGACATCCAGCTGTTCTGCATTAAGATTTGTTTTTTTTCAAACATGTCAATACATCTTTCAATTTTGCAACACACTTAATGGTTCGTCGTTGCTTTTGTTGTAACATTTTAATTTTTTTCTGAAATTCTTTTCTCATATACATCAACACAGTTCTCAACGATTGTTTCCGTGACGTATTTTCTGATAGATATGGCGAAACAATTATTCCTTGATTTTTAACTCTTTAAGTACGTGGTGTACTCATCTGGGAAACTGTATCAAATACAATGTTGATGAAAAAAATATAACTAAACGAAAAAAATTTTCATAAACATTATTCTTTTATTAGGAAAAAAAAAGTAACTACATATCTTGAGTAGAAATGCTAAATTTTCATTCTATTATTCAATCTATAGTAACTAGTAACAAAACTATTAAAAATCACTGGCCAATTTATTATTAATATAAAATTTTTGTAATAGTCCGCTATCACTTAACAGTGTTTCTACAAAATGATTTGTTTTATCTATTGCAATTGATAAATATACCTTGTTCAGTGTTGTCACATATTTCCATGGAATCAAGATTTTCTGCTTCTTTGATTCTGCATGTTTCAGGATCATCTATATAATCTATATAATTGTCATTAAAAGAATCATTATATTTCATTATATTTTATAAGAAATTATTAATAAGATTATTCATAACTCCACATCACTAAACAGTTACAATAAGATGATCACTAAATAGTATATTTTTTATAATAAGATAATTATGTTTTAACATACTTTTTTCTGCATTGTGATGTATTTTTTGTATTTTTACAGGATCAAGATTCTGTTGCTCTTTCATTAAATTATAATTATGCTCGTCCAATATTTTTTTTCACAGGAGACTCGTCATTTCTCATATTCATATTATTCTGTAATACATATTTAGTTAATACATATTGTCTTACAAAATATAAAATACTTGAAACTGATAATTCTATGTCTATACATACAAATGGGACAGCACCAGATCTAATTCTAATACAACTAAGTGATGTTTTGTCCATATCACTTTCTTCAAAATGTAATGAGCAAATAAATGCATTTTCTGGAACATTACTGTCATTTAAATCCATTCTATCAAGCCACTTTTTACGTACTTGTGGTTTCTTTGGAATTTTGTAATTATCAAATTACTTTAAAAAATGTCAACAATGATATAAAATATAATTTTACTTTGAATAATCAATAGTATTAAAACATACTTGTGAAATGTAATTAGTTTGCCATGTAAATATTTCCATCTCAATTGTGTTTTATTTTTTCGTGTTACATGTCTTCTGCTCCTGCAGTCTTTTGCATAACAATCAGACATATTGCATGAATTATTATGTGAATTTATTATTGCAAAGCACTTTATTACAGATATAAACAACTTTATTGCAAGCACTTTTATTACAAAATACGTGATACACACACAACCTCAAAATTCTTTGGTTATAATTACGCCGTATGATGTGAAAATAGATTTGCGTTACATATATCGTATCTTATATATATGTTATTTTTGAACCACCAAGATGGCCGCTACGGATATTTCCTCTCACCTCTCAGGCTTCATTCCCCTCGCCCTCAAAAATACTTTATGCTCCCTCCAGATATTCTTACCACCATGTTACGACATGTATTGTAGAATGACCTTTAAGGTCATTCTACAATGAGGTTGTAGTAGTATGCAGTAGGCAAATTGACCAATCACAGTCGATTTTTCTTCGATCGTAAAGAGAACAATCGTGATTGGTCAATTTGCCTACTGCATACTACTACAACCTCATTGTAGAATGACCTTAATGCAGCTATAAAAAACGGACCCCATATTGCCAAATATAATAATAAAGTACAAAAATAAAGAAAAATGAGTTTTTGTGTCGTGTTTGGGTGCAAAAATTGTGCAAAAAAAATTATGAACAATTAGAAAATGAAGTGAAAAATAAGTTTTCATTTCACGTGTAAGTAAAATATATAGAATGTAGGTTAATTTCCAATTGGAATATCATTTGTTTATATTTAAATTAATATAATATATATATGTATATTTGATGTATTATATTTGTTGTTAGGTTTCCTCAAAACATTGGCTGCGTTCAGTAGAACAAAATGATCAGTGAGCGCTTAATGATTATTGTCTGTGATTGGAGCATTTTTTTAGATTCTTCATAGACCCAGAAGTATTTACCAATCAGGAGCGAGAATCACTAAGCGCTCACTGATCACTTTGTTCTGCTAAACGCAGCCAATGAAAGAAAAGAGAAGTGGCTTGTAGCACTAAATTTAAAAAATTATAATCCACGTAAAACAGCGGCTGTATGTTCTGCACGTTTTTGAGAAGATTATGAAGTGGGACATTCCTTACACAAATTGAAAAAGAATGCCATTCCATATATATGTATAATGATGAATAAGTGTTTAGCATTTGTATTGTATAATGAACACATTACAGTTATCTTAAAACGTATCATGCTTTGGGAAGTTTAAGGAGAAAATTAATCTGGAGAACCTTTTTTCTTTTTTTTTTTTATTACGGTGGGGAAATCTTCATGAATACCCCCGGGGGGGGGGGGGCGTTATGCCGAACACCTACCGGCTAAAACTGCACCGGGGTATCTGCCAGGCAGCCGGAGTGTGGGGAGTCGGGGGAATGCGTTCAGCAGAAACTGTACACTACCGGGACCGCAGCGTAAAGCGCTGAGTAACGGTAGCGGAGCAGTAGCGAAACGATTTTCTCTGCTGAACGCAACCATAGACACAGACTACGTTTACACGGGTTCTAACTTCGACTTAGTAACGCTATGTTATAACTCCTACTTAAAGTGAGTTGCGTTTACACATTTACGCTTATCTATTTGAAATAACTTAATAACTTTCGAGTGAGTTAAAGATTTCCATTAGTACCAATATAAAAGGCCGAAAAATGAAATGATTGTGATTGTAGTCTGAATATAAAAGAATTAGAATATGAAAAGAATAGTATGTAAATAAATCAACAGATAAAGTGAACTTTTAGGTTATATTATGAATTTGAAAATTATAAAATATGTATATATCTATATAGTAAAATTTATATAATAAAATATAATATTTAACTAAAAATGAAATTAAAATTTTAGGTTATCAATTTTGGAAAAAATTAATCATGGAAAATATGGAAAGCGTACGCTCGTTTGTTGCTATATATTTGAAAATAGTAGAAAATATGACGATGCAATATGTACTATATGTACGAAATATTTTGATTAAACGGCGAAAGCGTCAGAAAGAAATTATATTACATTTGTTGAATTTAACACCACCAAATCATTTGCTTGATCTCGGACCTGTATTACAATTTTCACGACATAAATCAATTTTACAATCAAGTTAAGATGTTCAATTTTTATATTGGTATTATTGTCATATTTACACTACGTCCGTTTACACGTCTTCTTTACGTCGATGTAGAAACTTTAAGCCTCTTCACCAAATGACTTCGAGTTACTACATCAATGTAATAACTTCGTCGTAAAGGAGTGTTTATACGGCATCTAACGTCAGTAGTTATAACATCGATGTTATAACTTTGGCGTAAATTGAGCTGTGTAAACGTAGTCATAGTATATCTAGGGCCCCATTCTTGAATCTATACGCAACTTTACATATACGCACGTTGCGAACGGTAAAAATGCGCATACGTTTCTGACATGGTATTCTTGAACTTAATTGTGTAGTATTCGCAACTAGAAACGTATACGCTTTCCGTTGCGTTTAATTACGTTTGACAACATTAGAAAACATATGTACTTTCTGCAAATATCGACCAAAAATACGCTACGACGAACTTTAATTGGCTACGTTCAGCAAAACAAAGTGGAAAATATGGAACTAATATGGAAAAATCTTCTTGATTCTTCCATTATTTCAGCATGTTCTAACGCATTTATGACTTGTATGTTTACTATTATATCGTCTAAATCCGTTATTGTTACTACAGTTTTACTCTATAATTAAAATGCAATGAAATTTATATGTTATTTTCTCTTAAATTTCGTATATATTATTTCTCTCACGAATATGTAACGTCAGCTATTATTTTCCACTCTTTTAGCCGTCTTAGCGTCGAATTATTCTTCTTCTTAATAACAATGTGCTTCTATGTGTACTCTTATACTCCACTTTCTATACTTTGCATAACGTATCACATACGTTTCGAGAGAAACGTATGTTATTATTCGTTGCATTGCGAATGATAATTTGTGTATACGTTTCACTTGCGACTGTTAAATATACGGTTCTAAAGATTTTCCATTGCAATTAGTCGAAACTTGTCACTTACGTATCAGAGAGAAGCCTGAGAGCGGGCATGGCTGTATTTACAGCGTTATGGAAAAGTTGGCTGATTCGCAGCGCCAACTGGGTCCATTTTTCATGGACATGAACTACTAAGCCAATGTCCACGATTTGTCGGTACTATTCCGTGCTATGTCCATAATTATTTGGTTCTGTTCTGTGCTATGTTCACGAGCGAGCTAGATTAGTTAGATAAAAACGAAGAATCGGTCTTCGTCTCACCACCAGCGAATAGACAATCGCGACGAAGCGAGCCAGCAGCGATCTTATCGTAAGGCAGACGTCGCCGTCCCCCCTTTCACCCCCTTGTTTTCCTTTCCACATTGTTTTATATTTATAATTCGGGAAGAAAATAATTTCGAGAGTTCGGACGATTTCTAGCAATGACGCGACAGAGATAACGCGCGGCCACATTAATTTGTCATGACTTTTAAATTACTTATAATTACATAAACGCCCATATGTGCAAATTATAGATAATTATTGCGCGTATGTTTTAATATTGTACAATATGGCATATAATAACAACAACTTCATTTCTTGCAGTATTTTTTTAAGATCTTCGTTGAGGTCGTGAATTAATTTTCTTCATCAATCAGTTTTCTGCAAAAATTAAGATTTTTTAAATAAAATATAAAATGTTTCTCTTCTCTTCTCTCCGAAGAGTTAATTAAAAAATATGTACTCCACAGAGTCAACTAACAAATGTGTAGTCAGAAGAGTCAATTTAAAAGTGTACTCCGAAAAGTCAATTTAATAGCGTATTCCGAAGAGTCAATTTTAAAGCGTACTCTGAAAAATCTAATTAATATTGCAAATCCGAAAAGTCAATTTATAATAGAATATTTACTTCGATGATTCAGCTAAAGAAAAAAACATTTACTTATTATTATATTCAGAGAATAATATTTAATTTATTATTTATACTTATCTTACTTATGCTTACCCTACATATGCTTCTTTGAATGAAAAATTTAATTTGTTGACTGATTCAGATTCAGATTTGTTAAAATATCTCTTATGCGCAACTCTTGAACAGGTAGGTAGTAAAATAACTTTTTTTCTTTACGAATTTTATAAACTTTTCAAGAACATAAAAATTGAAAGATTCGTAAAGTCCGACCATGCAACCTCCACGCGGTACATCCTGAATAATACTAATGCTGGCGGCACCGTAAATTCTAAAGCTCATAACTCAGACAATTCTCAACAAAAATAGGTCATCAAGTAGTATTTCGGAAATGTATCGCTGTCATCTTTAACACTGTGTGATAAAAAGTGGGATATTCCATTTAAGAAAATCATGTTGGCATTGACCTCGCCTTGACTCCTCCATTCAAGGTCAACCGGATATGACCATTCAATAGATAACTTTTAAAACCTTACAACTTTAGTTGGAAATATTTTTCTTAAAAATGTTTCGTTTTCGAGGTATTTGACCGTTTCCATACTTTTCTAACTAAAGTGACATGGTCCATTATCGATGATTTTATTAAAAAATTTTTCGAACGAAAGTTGCATGGCTTGAAGGACGACACATAACGGAAATGTGGACTTGACCTTGAGTGAAGTGACCTTGTCAAAATCAGGCCAAGGTCATTAATGTTTTTTTAAATAGAAACTACGATTTTTTATTACATATTCTTGTAGCTTATCTCGAGAGCATTCCAAAACACTCTAACAAAGTTATATTTCATCGAGTACTTTCCGAGTTATGAGGCTTGGAACTTAAGGCAAGACCGATCACTGATCCGACCAATTAAGGCAAGATCAATTCGAATATATCTTTAGCCGTTAATAAGTCTTGGCCTTAGAAGTACGAAATAAAACCTCCTTGCTTTTATTACAATATCCTGTAAGTTAGCAAATATTCTTCACACATACAAACATAGTATTATTATATTTTTATTGAATAGTGCATTGAACAACTATAACATTGTTCTGAGAGTTTTCTCATTTAGAGCGACGAAACAAATATATTTTATGAATTTTTTTTTGCGCAGATAGAAAATTTCACGGATGTAATTGTTTTTGGAGATTATTTAATACTGTATGAAAAATATTTATTAACTTACAGGATATTGTAATAAAAGTAAAGAGGTTTCATTTCGTACTTCTTGATTCTGTTACAATATTCTTTTATATTTCATACTACATCCTTGTATAACTTAAAATTACTCTTAAAATATTATTAAACAATTCAATAATCAAACCTGTGAACCTGCCCGACTCCGCAAAATAATTAATAAAATATATTTCATTTTCTTGGCGCCGAATATTATTAATACTTTTACAAATAATATTACGAATGATATAAATTTTTACAAATAAAATTTGTAAAAATTTGTATTATTTGTAACATTATTATACAATTATAAATAAAATTACAAATATTAATATTACAAATAATATATATTACAAATAATAATATTATTAATAATAAAATATTATTTGCAATAATTTCGGTGCGCCGAGTAGACAAAACTTTTCAGTATTGTCATAGAGAGGAAAGGAGAGAGAGACAGTCGCGCCCGCGATTCAGATTATGGGTAAGAAAGAATTAGGCTCGCTCGCTGTGCGAGAACGAGAGCGACAAGGAGGGAATGATATTCTCTCTCTCTCTCTCGCTCGCTCGGCGCGTCGACAATTGCCGATCGCGTGGCTCACGTGGATTAACCGAGCTGGCTGTGTGCGTATAAAGGGGGGGGGAAGAGAATCCTCGTGCAAGCCCGTCACCAATTCGCATCATTGATACCAATGATATCAAAACCTAACAAGCTGCGGACAAGTGTAATTTGTAAATACCGGAGATCAATTGTTTATCAGCCCATAGACAATTAATATGACGAGATACCCGCGGAGACCCGCGTACTTCTCTTTCGTCTTTGCGTACAATTGCGATTAATAAAAAATTTTTACGAATTGTTCGGTTTTGACATCATTGGTATACGTGTGTACGTGTGTGTGTATGTGTACACGTACAATTGCGATATACACTTATCACGTTAGCATTGATCATTTTTATTCATGCTAAAAGAAATAAATATGATTATGTAAAGAATTTGTCTGCGTATTATTATACATTCTACATAGTTCTCCCTGCGATAGTAAAAATAACACACTTGAACAACCTCTACGCTCATATCACAAAGCCTGATCCACTGCGCTACTGAAGCAAATTGGTAATTCTTCTGCTATAACGACATTAACAGAAAAGACTAAACTTCAAACTGCATTTCTCAAAAACGTTTAAGATTTGCACCGTTATTGGGTAGCATTTGTTACTATTACATCAATATTATACTTTTCTAAAAGTAAAATCACGCGGTTATTTCAAGAGTGAAGATTCCTCTCGTGTGAGATATTAATTATTCATTCTTTATTAATGGGAAAAGATTTTCCTTTGATTTAAATGTTCAAGAAAAGTTATTTGTTCTCTGAGAATCTTTCAATTTTTATGTTCTTGAAAAGTTTATAAAATTCGTAAAGAAAAAAAGTTATTTTACTACCTACCTGTTCAAGAGTTGCGCATAAGAGATATTTTAACAAATCTGAATCTGAATCAGTCAACAAATTAAATTTTTCATTCAAAGAAGCATATGTAGGGTAAGCATAAGTAAGATAAGTATAAATAATAAATTAAATATTATTCTCTGAATATAATAATAAGTAAATGTTTTTTTCTTTAGCTGAATCATCGAAGTAAATATTCTATTATAAATTGACTTTTCGGATTTGCAATATTAATTAGATTTTTCAGAGTACGCTTTAAAATTGACTCTTCGGAATACGCTATTAAATTGACTTTTCGGAGTACACTTTTAAATTGACTCTTCTGACTACACATTTGTTAGTTGACTCTGTGGAGTACATATTTTTTAATTAACTCTTCGGAGAGAAGAGAAGAGAAACATTTTATATTTTATTTAAAAAATCTTAATTTTTGCAGAAAACTGATTGATGAAGAAAATTAATTCACGACCTCAACGAAGATCTTAAAAAAATACTGCAAGAAATGAAGTTGTTGTTATTATATGCCATATTGTACAATATTAAAACATACGCGCAATAATTATCTATAATTTGCACATATGGGCGTTTATGTAATTATAAGTAATTTAAAAGTCATGACAAATTAATGTGGCCGCGCGTTATCTCTGTCGCGTCATTGCTAGAAATCGTCCGAACTCTCGAAATTATTTTCTTCCCGAATTATAAATATAAAACAATGTGGAAAGGAAAACAAGGGGGTGAAAGGGGGGACGGCGACGTCTGCCTTACGATAAGATCGCTGCTGGCTCGCTTCGTCGCGATTGTCTATTCGCTGGTGGTGAGACGAAGACCGATTCTTCGTTTTTATCTAACTAATCTAGCTCGCTCGTGAACATAGCACAGAACAGAACCAAATAATTATGGACATAGCACGGAATAGTACCGACAAATCGTGGACATTGGCTTAGTAGTTCATGTCCATGAAAAATGGACCCAGTTGGCGCTGCGAATCAGCCAACTTTTCCATAACGCTGTAAATACAGCCATGCCCGCTCTCAGGCTTCTCTCTGATACGTATACGCAAGTAGTTCAAGAATAGGGCCCCTAGGCTGCGTTCCGATATTCACTGCCAGCACTGAAATTCTATAGTATACGTGATACAAACTATGTATTTTCAGTATTGGCAGTGAATTTTGGAACGCAGCCCTAGACTGCGTGTTCGAGAAGTGGGGATATTGCTCACGTAGAAAAGGATATATTCTGTTTTTACCATAAACATAGGAATATAGAGACAGAGCATAAGCCCGTAAGATAGGCTAGGAGAATTGTACTGAAATGCGGGGGGCGACTGTGCCTAAGTTTCATTGGCTACGATAGTGCGCATATTCAGAGCGTGTGATGCAACGACTTTTGCTGTCACTGGCAAATAGTAAATGTAACAAAATGATAAGAACTATTTTGTTGTACAGAAATGCATAGTAAGAATAGAAATTATGTAATATTTGAAGTATATAATGAGTAAAATAAATATGCATATATACTATAAAATAATATTATTTATTATAAGAACTTTTATAAAACATAAAACAATACTTATACATAATTATTATTATATATATTATATAATTATATATGAATATACTTATTACTAAAGTTATATTAATAAATTCCTCAATCGACATTTTCTAGAGAATTATGAATTCTTTTAAATGATACCATTGTTGCTTTCTCTGCTGTACATGGTTGTATCGATGTCATTGTTTCTTTATCTGTTGTTGATGATTGTGCTAAACGTCATAAGATATTTTATATAATATATAATAATACAATGAATAATTTGTATTTCTAGCAATTATATTATCTCCACAACCTCCGCAAACAGTAGGCATTATCCAATCATAAATAATATAAATGCTAATAATATAAATAAGTATAAAAATTTGTTACTTTGTTTACTTACGGCATACAATGAAGGAATCATTCTTTCTTTTTTCCGTTTCTATATGCTTTTCACATTCATTCAATGGCAAAACATTTGGCCTTAATCGCGTTAATAATCCGTTTGATCGAAAGATTCCTTTGAAAAATGATCAGAGCAAATATGTGCACTTTTTGGAATATGTGGTGGAAGATTTAAGATATCGGTCCACAAATTGCGGCTGGTATTATTTTTTGGAATGCTAAACATAAATATTTATATTATATTAAAAAACTTTTTTGAAAATTGGGTACTATTATTTTACAGTACACGCAATTTTACACCTGTGAAATGTAATTTTTCGATTTTTGTCCACATTGCTGGTTTTTTTCCAATTTTGGCTATCGGACCTGTTCTTACACTTTGGAACGCAACACTGCACCATTCTATTATTTGTATTTATCTTTTCTTATCACCGACACTTACACTGACAGTATTATTTTGCAGAGGTTATGCATGTGACTTTTCTTTCATAATTTCATACACATCTATGTATGTATCAAATACTTACACACGGCACAACTAATTAGATTTAGGCACAGTTTACCTCGTCGCACCATCCCGCAATGGTTATCCCCCGCAACTCTATGCTCTGTCTCTGTATTCCTATGTCTATGGTTTTTACTGTTCGTTCTCTCTCGCACAATTCCGATAGAAGGGATATAGGGGAGGCAGTTGCTGTACAGTACTATACAGTAACCACCGCCCCTATTCCTCTTCCATCGGGACTGTACGAGAGAGAACGAACAGTAAAAACAGAGTGCTTCTTTTTTTACGAAAGTTATACTCTTGAGTCAAGAGTTACATTCTTGAAATTTGGGAGAACGCGCAGTCTAGGGCTGCGTTCCGATATTCACTGCCAGCACTGAAATTCTATAGTATACGTGACATAAACTATGTATTTTCAGTACTGGCAGTGAATTTCGGAACGCAGCCTAGATATACTATGTCTATGAACACAACCAATCTGATGCATCTAATCGGACCGCTTCATTGCACCCTATTACACCCCGACTGTACTGTAAATAAAATTGAGAGCGGCTACCGGGCCGCTGGGACGCTTTTTCTGCCGAATTCCGTCGCGCCCCTGAGAAAATGTGTGCACACTACATCCGTCCTGACTGTGGCACCCAATTCGACATAGTACGATTGGACACGACCAACAGGTGCAAACTACTATCTGGTGAATTACTAAATCCAATCAATCATTTGCCCTCTGTTGATACTAGTGAATTAATTTTATATCCACTTCTTTAGATGGCGTATCAGAAAAAATATCACAAGTAACTGTCACGATGTAGCCAGTCAAAATTCTTTCTATATAATGATTATGTAGGTGTGACTAGTCAGCTGATGTCCAACATAAAATTACGTAGGATCAGCATTGAATTTACTTTCTTTTAAAAAATTTCTTTGAATAAATTTAATTTGCTTCGAAAACGAGGGAAAAATGGCATTACATTCTGCAAGTAAAGGCAAACTTCTTGCAGTGATTGGCGATGAGGTAAATATAAATAAAATACATATTTGAATGTGTTTATTTTAGACAAGAATTTATTAAATTTATTTTTTTTATAACTTTATGTATAACATTAAAATAAATTCGTTGCGTAATAAAAGAACATTTTGTACATATATCAAATAGCAAATTAAGACTATCTGAATTTTTGCTACTAATAAAGTTTATTTGTATCTTGTTGGTTATATCTTTTTCTCTAAAATAAACTTTCAAAAGCAAATATGTATTTGAGATATTTAAAACTAGAATAAAAATGAATTCAATTAATGGATATTGTTTTAGGACACATGTGTGGGTTTCTTACTAGGTGGAGTTGGAGAAATCAATAAACATCGCCAACCTAATTTTATGGTTGTAGATAAAAGTATGTATAATAATCATATGTTTTAAGCTAATTAAATAGTGATGTATTCAACATAAAGAGTAATGATATATTAAACACAAAATATTTTCGATTAAAAATTAATATATTTCTTCTATTGAAGATATAATCTATGATGTTATATCTCTTTTCTTTAGTTTTTGAAGCTTTTCTATTAAATATAGAAAAATATTAAATTATATTTGTATCATTTAATATTTATAGACAAAATATTCTTAAGACAATTTGTATTTATGAGCCTTACAGTGCAAATATATTTTTCCATTTTGTTAACAATAATATATTTTAAGCAAAAATTTTTTTTATTGAATTAAAAAATTTTTAAGAATCAATTTTTGGTTGAAAAAGTATTACTGTGTACAATAAACATATTGTCAAACTGTATACTCTATATACACATATATAAATATATTATCATAGTATAAATTGTAAGATCCTGCAATGGTATACTTAATGTTGAACAATAATATTCCTAGATACAGCAGTAAGTGAAATAGAGGATACTTTTAAACGATTTATTAAACGTGACGACATTGATATCATCCTTATTAACCAGAATGTAAGTATTTGAATATTGATAAGCAGTAATAAAATAACTATATTCATAAAACAAAATATCTGTATTATTTTTTAATGAATTTTTAAGATGTTTTAATCTGCTGACAGCATTTAATATTCAAATCAACAAATATATTACAAGATTCACAATACTCAAATGTTTTGGATATTCCAATGTTTCAAATTATCTATGGAATGGAATTTATTTAATTGTAATTTAATTTATAGTTTTAATTTAAAGAGAGATAATGTACTATATATATATGGTTACTTGTATTTTAAAATTATAATATTAAATATAGCAATGTTTATTCTGATTCATGAAAAAATTATAACTTTCTTTATTTTCTTGTAAATATGCAAATTTTCTCTTATTTCGTTTAATCTTGCATTCGACATTCTGCCATAGGTAGCTGAAATGATTCGTCATGTGATAGACAGTCACACTCAACCAATACCTGCTGTATTGGAAATCCCGAGCAAGGATCACCCTTACGATGCCAGTAAGGATTCTATTTTGAGACGTGCCAAAGTATGTTGAATTTAATTATGATAATTCTTAGTTATGATAAATTATTGTTTAATTTTGTTTCCTTATCTTCCCTTTAATCTTTTCATGGAATCTTGTTATATTTATTGTTTGTAGGGAATGTTCAATCCGGAAGATATCCATGCATAATATGTATACAGTATTAAATTTGCTGTTAATTACTCTACACAGATGTATAATAAACTAGAATTATTTGTTATTGCATTTCACATCTTTATTTTTATTAGATTATAGTAAATGCAATGTAAAATTGTTTTCATTGAGTACAAAGAATAATGGATGAGGAAAGTATAATTTTTCTTGTTATTTTATATACACGTATGTATATAATAAAATGATAGAAATAATTAAGTCTCAAAAATTATTTTATATTTATAATATTGTGCATCAAGTTGCTTATACTCCAATTGTCTAAAATCACAATAAATTATTATTATTCATTTTATTACATATTAGTAAATTATTAATGTGTTCAATAAATAAAATAGAAAAAAGTATATAATATATAAACTCAAATATGCATTTTTTTATTATGTATTTCGATTTCTGAATGAACTATATATTCGGTCAATATTTAAATATTTTTATATATGGTAACGATTATTTGATTATTTGATTGATATCTTTGATTTGTGATACATCTCATAGACTAATTTCCAGCTGAATTATTCTATGCCATTGACTATCTAATAGATACATTTTCAAATAATGGGTAGAAAAAAATAACCAAGTGGAATAACAAGCTAATATTACTCGGCCAATAGTAATTGCAAGTTACAGATATATATCTTGAAAATATTGGACAACAGTCTTGGCAAATTTTGGGTAAGAGGCGTACAACATTAGTTGAGACATATACAAAGATTGAACATTGATAATTTGCGAAATATAATGTTGGATTTCTGTGACGAACAATAGACAGATATATTTTATCGAATTACGCAATGCGAGGATTGGTCGTTTATGTAATGAAAAAGGACAATTGTTCCCTTCATTATGATAAAATCTATAAAACAATTATATATAATTAAGAGAAAAGTAAGTAAACAGTATATCTTAAGTTGACAAAAAAAACTTGAAAGATATACAGATGAATTCGAAATTGAAAATATAAAGTCAAGAAATTGTGTGCATTAACTATGTTCAGAAAACAAAGCAGTAATTATTGGTTTTTATTATTAGATTCTTACATTTAGACCTATAACGTTGACGAATTTGCAACGTTAATTAATTGTAACCGTCGTGTTTTCTGAATTTAGTTATTTAGTATTACAAACTTCAACAATCACTGATTGCTCAGTGAGCACTTGTATTTAATTGGCATATTATAGATTTTAAAATATATGCCAATCATAAGAGCTTACTGAATGTTTAATAAACGGTCATAGTACTGAATGTAACTGTTTCTTTTAGTACAATTCCTCCCATTTTTTTTAGTACAATTTCCTTACCATGTGATCTAAATTCTATTGTCATTTATATATTGTATCTTATATCCAACCATAGAACATTCCACGTAGAAGGGGTATTATCTTGTGCTACATGGCAATTGATGTGTAAAGACCAAGATTAACTTACCTCTAATAATAAAATCTATAAAAAATCTGATGAAATTGATAAAGCTGCGTTATTTTTTAACATAGAAATATTGAAAAATTAAAAGGAGATGAGCATATTAACAGTTTCTGACAGTCTAGAGTGACTACGACATTGCTCTTCCAATCTAACCTCTCAATCCAATTTCTTAATTATTTATTTCTGAATCAGGATTGAATTGTCAATTGATGTAATATATTTTTGTATCAAAATATAATTTTTAAAACCTGCAGTTGTTAGCAAAAATTCTTGCACATCATTATTTCCTATATTTTCGGCATACAACAGTATTAATAATCAAGTACTGTGTATAATTAATACAAATTAATACAAATAATACAAAGAATATCTATATAATACAGCACACGAAACACACTTCTTTGTTAATATTAAAAATATTAAAATGCATTTCTCATATCTAACAGACATTTATAAACCAGATTGTGTTATTAATATCTTTATATTCTTTGATTTTTATAATAAATTATTCCAGCATCTTATAATGTAACATTTTACATTATAAAAATTCTCTAAATATATTTGAATCCTCTACTCTTTGGAAACTTTCTATTCTCAAATTCTTTCTTCTTCTGAATTCTGATATTTTCCAAAATTTTAAGTTTACAAATCTCCAAATTCTCCTCGACTTTCTGAATCATCTCGATAAGATCATTTCTTAGTTTATTTTGGTGGGATTTAATTTAATTTATAAAATTGGCCATCTAGTTAATCAATTTCACGTTCTTCTTTCGCAGACAGGAATAACTTCTGCACAGTATGCGTAGCTTCAACTAAAAACAATACAGAACATAAGTATAATTATTAAAGGTTCAAATTATATTAAATGATTGATAAGTTTAACATAAAACAAATCATGTTTATGAGAATCAACGAACCGTTGATTTTCTGGAACCACAACGGCTTGTCTTTCCAAACGACTCCAATAAAATACGCGGGTATACCGGAAGCGGTAATCAAGATACCCATTCCAACCTCATACGGTCTTTCATAACATGGTACGAGAACTAAAAACGCACATACTGCTACGAATACTATAGGTATCCATAATGGCACCTGGAAAGAAGAGGTTCACTAGTCCCAAGACATATACTGCCTAATAATATTATCTCTATGCTGCAAGTAGTACGTTACCTTGATCGGTCGTTCCATGTCAGGCCGTTTGTAGCGTAACCATAAAATTCCAGCCACAGAGATCATAATAAAGAACGATTCTACTATGCTACAATACGTAATCAGCACGATGATATCGCTTGTGCATAACATTACCAGAGACAGAATACACTACGAATGTAAAATAGATTATACTATAAATATCTCAAACGTATTTCTAAAAAACGATTTCACTAATTTGATTAATAAACGCGTACCAGAAATACTAAGGCAGGAGTAGGCGACAGTCTGGACATGTTGATGTGACTTAACATCGAGGGGAAATTACCATTTCTAGCACCAACGAAGCACATTCTTGACGACGTCATGATGTGTACGCTCAATCCGCCAAAGGCTGATACAGCCACCATTACTGATATGGTCCAAGCTAAATATCCAAGTACTTGATCACCGAAAGTCTGATAACAACAAGAACATTGAGTTCTGCATACAAACATCGAATAGAATAAATTCAATTAGTAAATTATAATAAATTATGTTGTATTTATAATCAACTTACCACTGCGATAGCATTAGAAGCAATCATGGCTGTCGGCGTCAAAACAGCCAAGTAAGCTACATTCGCCATAACGTAGATGAAGGTTACCAACGGCAGTGATATGTAAATTGCACGTGGTAGATTCCTGATAACAAAGTTTAATCAGAAAAAGAAGTATATGAATATACACATACAAAATATGCAATTAAGTCAGTAGGAGCCGGTAAACATTAATATTCATATATAATGTCCTCTGTGTTATTAATAATTTTTTTTGGGCTCGATTACTTTCAGTATTTATCATCTGATTTGATCTATCCTGATTATTTGCAATATGATACATATTATGACGCACTGTAATATTTACAGTCGATTCTATATTCGTCAATAAAACTAAAGAATTATATTGAGTCAGATAAAGATGAACTATGAAACTATGAAACTATGAAATATAAATTTATACAATCTTACGGATAATAATTGTAGAGCGATGTACTTGAAAATATTTTAAAGGTTGAAGCCTCAGCTTTAAAATCCTATTAAGTTTCCTCCTTAATGATGATTTCTCTTCAGTTGACAAAATTCTAAATTGTTTAAATATATTCCTTATTGTTTCTTAAAATATGGACATTGGTTGGAAAAAGATCAAGTAATTGTTAAAATTCGCAACTCTGATTATTATAAAACATTTATGAGAAGAGGATAGAACATGATCATCAATGTCTACTGACTCGTATTGATTTATTCGTACATTTTAAATTAAATTTTCCAATAATGAAGCAAACTAATCTTATTGCTTTTTCTTTTTTATCAATCATTCAATGATCCAATAAGGATATTTATTCATCAGTTAAACAATATGAAATCTATATAATTTCGTAAAAATCGACACTACAATAAATTCGTAATGACGATAGATAATAAACTTACTTATAAGGATTTTTTAGTTCTTCCGTCATAAAATTTAAATAATTCCATCCTGAATAAGAAAATATACCAGAATAAAATGCCACTGCAATCTTGCCAGGACTATAATTTGTATTTTCAAAAGTATTCTCGAAATTTTCCGTGTATCCTAATTAACATAAAAAATTTTAATTAAAAGACAATACTTATTAGAATGCATTACAGCGAATCAGTTAGAAAATTTACCCATGCATAGCCAAACCAAACCAGCTATGATAATAATCACCAATGCTCCAATTTTAGCAAACATGAATATATTCTGCATCTTAGAAGTTTCCTTTACGTCATAGCAGTTAATAAACGTGAGCAAGCCTAACAAACATTTCGTAAATTTTGTAATTTAATTAATCGTAAATAATTAAATCGTTAATTTTATAAATTAAATTATAAGTGTTTACAATAAATGATAATTTTTCTAATGTGAGATATATATACAGGGTGTCCCATTTTAACCCTTTAACTGCTACGGTCGAGATAACTTGAATGTGGAAAAAAATGGTGGCCTTGCTACGATCGAGTTTACTCGATTTGGACTTTCAATGTGTGTGATATTGCGTTTGGTATTTTTTTTAATTTAAAAATGTGAATTTGTTGAAAATCTGGATCATCAGCAAATTATAAAATATTTTATAATTATAAAAATAACTCAGCAAAGAAAGTCATACTAGTCATTTAATAACTCAGCAGTTAAAGTTTTAGACAAAAGTTGTTCAAATTAACTAGTAGAAAAGAACAGTGTAATAAAAAATAAGGGTTCCTGTTTAAATAACGCAAGTTGACCTTCAAATGACCTTGAAAAGAGGTCAAGGTCAAAGTCAAGGTCATTATAAGGTAGCTCACTTAAATCCCTACAACTTTTATTCAGATCATTTTCCTTGAAACTTCACTACTGAAGAGTTATTTGGAGAGTTATTTGGGGTGGAACATTAAAATGGGACACCCTGTATGTATATATATATATATATATATATATATATATATATAAATCTAGATTCAAATTACTATATTTATTAACTAAATGCAAACGTTCTACCAATTTCAGGACTTTTTACTGTATGATATACTCATAGATGCTTTCTTACACATATTTGTATCTAATCAATAACTGTGTCTAAATATTTCTGTCTAATTAATGATGATAATGTAATAATGATATGTAAATTTCTTAACCATACTAAATAAATAACTTACATATGCTGAGTGCAGCTATCAATCGTGCACAATCATCTGGAACATTACAGTTAGGGAAAAATGGCTGTAAGACATATTGAGCAACAGTCAAACCCATGATAGCATTTGTTGTTGGTCTGTAAATAACAATGATACCTTGCAGTGTACTTTTGAATAGTAAATTATTAGATTATTTAAGGACTATTTAAAGAAACTCACACAAAAATTAAATTAGCAGCCCATAAGTACAAGAACGAAGGCAGAACACCGAAAGCCTCATGAATATAAGCATAATCTCCTCCACTGCGAGGTATACTGGTACCTAACTCAGCATAACATAATGCACCCACCATAGAAAGCAAACCACATAATATCCATATGATTAAGGATAGTCCAACACTGCCTACTTCTTGTATAACACCTTTTGGCGTGATGAAAATACCTTTTAAGTTAATTTAAATTAGTTTAAATTTAACATCTAGATATCTTAAATATTATGTATATATGTATGAAATATAAAACTCTAAGAAATCAATTTTTAATTTATTCTCATTTATTAAATTTAATTTGGACATACCTGAACCAAATATAATTCCTAATATAATAGCTACTCCTTCTAAAAGACCAAGCTGTTTTTTCATTTGCACCTTACCAACAGTTTTCTGTTGACTGTCAGTTCGTAATCGAATGGATCCTTCATCATCCGAATTTATCAGTCTTATTTCTTTGGCGGATTCATCACATGCCTGATTTGTCATTGTTATAAAAGAATAACTTTGCAGAATGTATGAAATTTTTTTAAATCAAGTCTTGTGACAGGTTAATTTTCTAATTAACATGAAGTGTAATAGTAGTTAAAGATCATCATAAAGAACAATTTATGGAAACTTATACTAAACGTTTGCTCACACAGGTAACTTCATTATCTGTAACTGAAACATTTTTGTTTTTTAATATTCAAAAGAACATACAATTTCCTGATACAAAAAACAATTATACATATAAGAAAAAAGTAATTATATAAAATTTGTTATGATAAAAGACTTGAGAAAAGTTTCATCATAATTAATAGTATCAATTCGTATCAATAATTATGTAATTGAAAATTTACCATTTTTGTCTTACTAATAATAAAAATGAGTATTTATATGTATACATATATATATATATATATTAGTAATTATAAATAGAAATTGAAAGCTTACAGAATTGTATGTACAAAACATAAGAAAAACAAGCATTAATTTACAAATATGAACTTGCAATTACTCTGAATACGATATCTTATTTGTCCTCTTTTCTTTATTTATTACCGCATTTATAAACCACTTGTTCTTATAAAATCAATTTTTTATATCACATTAATTAACCACATTCTTTTTAAAAGCATCATATTAGGTTAAACTAGGTTAAATGATGTGTGAAGAATTTAAAAACACGTGTACAATAACAAAAAGGAACGGAATGAACTGACCAGGAGGTTAAGGGCACATTCCTTTATTCACTGCGAGTACTGTCAGCAGTACTAACAGTGTTCCGATATGAGTTGCAGTACCTGCGAAAGCGCTTCTATGAGTGCGTTCCGTTTCACGTATACGTGCGCATTTATCTATAGTTTATGTCACGTATACTATAAAAAATGCGCGCATATGCGTGAAACGGAACGCACTTTGGCTGCGTTCCGATATTCACTACCAGTACTGAAAATCTATAATATATGCGATATAAAGTATATATTTTCAATACTGGCAGTGAATATCGGAACGCAGCCTCTATAAGTGTATGACGTCATTAATTTCGGTGTCACTTCCTGCTGCGGCTACTGTAACTAGTGAGGTAAGGGGTGCGTTCCTTTATTTACTGCAAGTACTGATGCTATGACGTCATGAAAGTGTACTACTAGTAGTATTCCGTTTTAACTTCGAGAACTATCGAGATGTTGCAACGTTATAAATCGGAACGTACCGCGGTACGCTTCGTGAAGCTTGTGTTTATAGTTTGTTACCAATGCATCTGTTTACAAACATGAGTAAAATCTTAAATACCAATATAACTATAATCGCATTAATTTCAACTATAATAAGACAAAACATAGATGAGGAATAAAGCGAAAGCAATTTAGACATAGAAATAGTATAATAGCTAGCTGTTATACTATTTCTATGTCTAAATTGCTTTATTCCTCATCTATGTTTTGTCTTATTATAGTTGCAATTATAGTTATCCCGTACGGCACCGAAAAATTGCAACAACATTGTAGAAACATTGCAGTGCAAGATTACAACATTGCAGAAACGCTGCAAAATGTTGCCACAACATTGTTGCGAGATTGCAGCAACGGTAAAATGTCCGCTTTGAGAAATATTGCAATGCAACATTATAGCAATGTTGCAATGCAATATATATACAATGTTACTTTAGTCATATATACGTTATTATATATACGCTATTACGTAAATAATACTATTTTATTCAAAACATTTCCGTGAGATCCACGTGTTCTACAATGGTTTCACTTTTGTGTGTTAAGACACTTATGCCGACTTGTAAAGAATATAGCTTAGTTGTAATCTTCAGTTTTGGGGATAATAAATAATGATACATATAACTTATATTTATATATATTAAAATATTTTATTGATAGTTGCTGTTATAATGTTTATAATTATAAATACATAACCCATACAGCACAGAAGATTGCAGTTACATTGCAGTAATCTTGCAAAATTGCAAATTTCCGAGCAATGTTGTAGAGACATTGCTCGGAAATGAAATTGCAATCTTGCACTGCAATATCGCAGAAACTCGGAAATGGAAATGCAATCTTCCATCCCAGATAATACAAGATCTGAAGGCGTCGCAGAGACGTCCTAAAAAGGAAGAAACATCCTCAGCTCGTTTTCAGGACGTACTCTGGTTAGAAACATTGCAAAAATATTTTAATGCTTTGTTGTCTAATTATTATTATAAATAAGACAAAAATACTGAAAATAAAATTTTTCTCGTTGGAGCTATCGATACGTATGCGCGACAACTCAAATTTCATCATCAGTTGCGATTGTGTGTGCACATATTAAATAGGATTCATGAAACTACAAACGCTTTGGAGCGCAAAAAGAACAATTATAATTGTCTATGCGCTTCGAAGCATTTTAGACCATGTCCCCATGGAGAAGGAAATATCTATCATCTATGTTATAATTGTCCATTTAACAATGTACCCTTAGGAAAAATAACTTAAAATTTTCAAATTAACTTAAAGTTACTTATAGTTAACTGTAAATAATTTATAGTTAACTATAAATAATTTTAGATAACTATGAGTAACTTTAAATTAATTTGAACATCTTAAAGTAATTTTTCCTAAGGGTAAAAATAATATAACGCGTGTATTATACAACTATTACATTGTTGAGTGAAAATTTATAACATTATTGTCATGTTATTGTTACTTAGTGTTTGCTCAGTGCTTATGTGCAATGACGCTACATTATTGCAAATATATTGCACAGCAACATTGCTATAATGTTGCTCTACAATCTCTCTGAGGACGGACATTTCAACGTTGCTGCAATTTTTTTGTAACGATGCAGCGACATTACGCAACATTGCTGCAATATTGCAATGTCATAATATAATATTTCTGCAATGTCGCTGCAATCTTGCGGTGCTGTATGGGAAACTTAAACAAAGTTATATAATACGTATAAGTATTTGTATTATAGCTATTATAAATAAACAAAAAAGAATTATTTTTTATAATTAATATATAAACATTTTATATAAACAAAAGAGATTTATCTATTATAGCTACTATAAGAAAAAAAAATAATTATCTTTGGTTAGTATCACATATGTTGTTTTCTTAAAATTCGAATAGATATAAAAAAATGTAAATTGCCAATTAATCAAGTAGTTTTTAAGCGTCATTTTTAAATGCACTGTTATCAATAAAAGTGGGAATATGGACTATATGTATAAAATTGAAATTTATAGAAGTAATTATTGTAATAATAACCGCATATTAATAATTTTTGTAAATTTATTTGAAATAACATTCACACAATTAAAAATAGGATATTATTTGCCACAATATAGGATATATTTGCCACAAATTATTTGTTACAATGTTACTGCAATATTGGTTAAACAATATTGCACACTAATATTTATACAATGTTGCTGCAACATTGCTCTGCAATGTACAATTGCAATGTACAATTGCAATGTTGCTGCAAATCTTTGTGCCGTACGGGATATTGGTATTTGAGATTTCACTCATGTTTGTAAATAGATGCATTGGTAACAAACCATAAACACAAGCTTCACGAAGCGTACTGCGGTACGTTCCGATTTGTAACGTTGCAACACCTCGACAGTCCTCGAAGTTAAAACGGAACGTTATTAGTAGTACACTTCTGACGTCATAGCGTCAGTACTTGCAGTAAATAAAGGAACGCATCCTGTGACTGTGTTCCAAAATTCACTGCCAATATTAAAAATACATAGTTTTTTTAGTTCTTTTTTTTAGTTTTTCTTTTACAATTTTTTTTAATAGAAACGGTAGGATCAATAGACTTAAAATTTTTACAGTGTATTCATTAATGTTCAAAGTATAAAATAAATTTGTTACTATCTATATGGAAAATATACATAAAACTTTAAACGCGTTTATCTAGAAACACCATTTTACTGTAACACATTAAACTGTCCACACAATTATGCAAAAGTTGCTGAACCGAATAACTTGAAATTTTTACACAATATATAGCAGACATGTAGTTTTCGCCTCTATCTCGAACACAATTATATTTCATTTTATGAACATGATTCATTCAATTCATTTTTTTAAACATGATTACAAGTTGAAAAATATCTTTATTTTCGTTATTTTTTTTGTACAGTCTTTATTTTTCCAAACTTGGCTTCACTGCCTTCATTTTGGTACAGGCTATAATAGCAGCCATATATTTTTAAAATCTTTCTCATTTCTGATTTCAGAGTAATGAGAGACCCGGAATTATGTCGATAGCAAACATAGAGCTCGCAAACGGATGATTGCATATCTATCTATAATTACAAATTGGATTGGCTTTTATGATTCAATAAAATTTATTTTATACTTTGAACATTAATGAATACACTGTGAAAATTTCGAGGCCATCGATCTTACCGTTTCTGTTAAAAAAATTCGTAAAAATAGCCTTGAAAACAGCCTTCCATATATAATTTCCCTCTTAATTTAAAGACATTGCCATTTTTTCATAATATAAATTGTTAAAATGCACGAATATTTAAACATTTTATGTGTTTTTCCTGACAATGTCTATCTAGGGTAAGTGCAGAGGCGCTCGTAATGTTGAGCGACGAACAGAATACTAATTACAAGGGTTATAAGACGTGACATATGTCAAACGCTGACAGCTGACTGTTGGTTGTTACTCGCAATGTTGCTTATTTCTGTACTGTATAGCTGCGACACATAAATATCTAAGCGAGATGCGTTTATTTGGAAAATGTCCATCTGCCCAACGTTTAAGCATGACACGACTAGTATACCCTCGAAAATAGACCGACTTAATCTAATCAAGATAACAGCAGAATCTCTCGGGAGAGTGGGATCAAAGTGTTAACTCATTTATTTAGTTAATTCCCAAATAAATGAAGAAGCGTGCTCGACACGTATTCAACACGTAACTTCTGCGGATATCGATAGCATAGCGACGGATATCGAGAGCAGTTCGACATATCGAAGCAAAGTATCCGCGCGTCGGTAAGAAGATTTATGCGGCACGTCAAAAAGACATTTCGGTAATGCATATGCAGGCCGGTTAATAGCCTGTGAAGAAGATCGGATATTCGCGGGTACGTATATCAGGGTGCTGCTATCCGTGTGCGGCGACAGCTGTAGGTGGTAGCGGAGGAGTAACACACGCTGACATAGTATTGGTGAGATCGTTGTCCGTGGCTGTTGCGAGAGACCGGCAGAAAGTGGGAGACCGAGAGGGACAGAGACAAAATCGGAAAGAATAAGAGGGACGTGTGGAGGCAAGAGGTGGAGGTGTAGCAAAGAAGAGGAGGAGGTTGTAAGGGATCGGCGCTTCGGGCAACTTCAGTCGGTGCGTGCGAACGGGTTAGATCGGACGTTCGTTTGTCCGTCCGTCCGTCCGTCCGTCCGTCCGTCCGTCCGTTCGTCCGTCCGTCCGTTCGTCCGTCCGTCCGTTCGTCCGTCCGTCCGTCCGTCCGTCCGTTCGTCCGTCCGTCCGTCCGTTCGTCCGTCCGTCCGTCCGTCCGTTCGTTCGTTCGTTCGTTCGTTCGTTCGTTCGTTCGTTCGTTCGTTCGTTCGTTCGTTTTCGTTCGTTCGTTCGTTTTTTTTTTTTTTTTTTTTTTTTTTTTTTTCGTTCGTTCGTTCGTTCGTTCGTTTCGTTCGTTCGTTCGTTCGTTCGTTCGTTCGTTCGTTCGTTCGTTCGTTCGTTCGTTCGTTCGTTCGTTCGTTCGTTCGTTCGTTCGTTCGTTCGTTGTCGTTCGTTCGTTCGTTCGTTCGTTCGTTCGTTCGTTCGTTCGTTCGTTCGTTCGTTCGTGTTCGTTCGTTCGTTCGTTCGTTCGTTCGTTCGTTCGTTCGTTCGTTCGTTCGTTCGTTCGTTCGTTCGTTCGTTCGTTCGTTCGTTCGTTCGTTCGTTCGTTCGTTCGTTCGTTCGTTCGTTCGTTCGTTCGTTCGTTCGTTCGTTCGTTCGTTCGTTCGTTCGTTCGTTCGTTCGTTCGTTCGTTCGTTCGTTCGTTCGTTCGTTCGTTCGTTCGTTCGTTCGTTCGTTCGTTCGTTCGTTCGTTCGTTCGTTCGTTCGTTCGTTTTCGTTCGTTCGTTCGTTCGTTCGTTCGTTCGTTCGTTCGTTCGTTCGTTCGTTCGTTCGTTCGTTCGTTCGTTCGTTCGTTCGTTCGTTCGTTCGTTCGTTCGTTCGTTCGTTCGTTCGTTCGTTCGTTCGTCGTTCGTTCGTTCGTTCGTTCGTTCGTTCGTTCGTTCGTTCGTTCGTTCGTTCGTTCGTTCGTTCGTTCGTTCGTTCGTTCGTTCGTTCGTTCGTTCGTTCGTTCGTTCGTTCGTTCGTTCGTTCGTTCGTTCGTTCGTTCGTTCGTTGTTTTTTTTTTTTTTTTTTTTTTTTCGTTCGTTCGTTCGTTCGTTCGTTCGTTCGTTTCGTTCGTTCGTTTTTTTCGTTCGTTCGTTCGTTCGTTCGTTCGTTCGTTCGTTCGTTCGTTCGTTCGTTCGTTCGTTCGTTCGTTCGTTCGTTCCTGATATGTGCGGGCGTCACTCGTCTCGTCTTCGCGGTCGCTACGTTTCCCGACACATCGTCTTCTCCCGACCTTCGAGCTTCTTCCTAATCATCGGCATCGCAGCGAATAACCGTCGCGGCTTCGACCTCGTGAGAGAACAGTAAGACAGCACGACAGAAGAGGAGGCCTCCGATCAGCGTGTTTCTTCTCATCGAGAAATCGTCCGTTCGTTCGTTCCTTCGCGCGCCTACTCGTCCTAGACGATATTCCCTCCTATGCATCCAATTGCGAGTCGAGGTAAGTGTCCTGCCTCCGTGCGCACACTGAAACTTGCGATTCCGACGTCTTTAAAGACTGTTTGCTCAGATCTGAAAGAGAAACGAAAAAGTCATCGCGTGCATGATATCGAATGAGTTTGAATTTCATTGGAGCGACGATCATTGGAGGTGAAGATCGTTTTCGTCGAGGCGGCACCGCGAGACAGATTCCGTCGAGTGTGTATGTATATGTACACTTTCTTCATCGAGAGCAATTTGTGCCCGTGAAAATGAGTTACCGCCGACATTGACGCGTTATGCAATATTTAAATTTGTATTTTTAGGCTTAGAGTCTGCCGTAAACGCGCGTGTGAGTACGCACACGCGTATTCATCACGCGCTACGCGTCGCGTAATTGAAGAATTCGCTTTCAAAGCGTATCGTCAAAGTTGTACAGTTCACATGCTACGAGGCGACGACAAGATAGATCTATGATCTCCTCCCTGTATGTCTGCTTATTTGAAAAATAACTCGAATATTGCTCCTTTGCGATGAATTTCAAAACGCGGCTGACAATTATTCATAAACCGATTCTCCCTCATTGGAAATCGGCTACATTCCGAGATCGGCGAAGGTTTTTAAACCGTTCAGTAAACGACTGCACACATATCACCGCCATGATAGCCTTAATACATGAAGTTACTCCATTTTAGATATATCATTCGCTCCAAAAAGGTGCAACCTGATGTGTCGATGCTATCGCAACGGTCTACGTATGATCTATTCGGTCAACTCCGAGAGCCAAATATTTTCACATCATTTTCTCTTCTTTTCTCCATGGCTCGATGCAAGCGTTTTCTAGATGAAATATCGCAGGAGATATGTGTCGCGATTCGCATTATCGTTTGTTAACGTCCGTGAGATTGTTTACACTGAACGAAAGTTCGGAGTCACGCACTCACGCACAGCGTGGAGTCAGGCAGGTGGAAGAACAGAGACCGGTGTGTAAATTTACATTCGGCGTTTAAGATGCGCACTCTACTGAGGCTGTGTAATTTGAAAATGCACACTACCGGTTTCCATCTAGTTCCACTCTTCGTCTCTCATTCTTTCGGTCTTGCCTTCTGCATGTATGTGAACGTTCATGGTGTTAAGCTCGATTCACACTATCCGCCTAGAGAAGCCGGCGGGAAATGAATTGACAGCATCGCATATCGTCTTAATTTACGATTAGAGTACTCATAATCAACGATCGACATTGTCGGTGAGAGAATTGCCGATCGATTTGATCGCGATGAACGTAGAAAAATGTGAACGATCGCGAGAGTCGCTCGTTAAACTTCAGCTAACCACCGTCAAGCAATTATCTGTGCGTTTTAAATATAAAACGATTAACGAGATGATTCTTCGGATATAATTAGTATTGTTGGCTCTACTGATTCTCTCACGTTATCTTTTTTCTTTTTATAAGCAGCAGTAGCCGATTGAATTCTTCGAATAACTCACTGAACCGGTACACGGGCGTCCGAAAGTATTAATGAAGCTCCGTTTCATCGTCCGACGATTTATTATAGAGCCAATCCCTTTTCTACCGTGGGAATAGTATGAATCGAGTTTTACACGGCGAAGCGTATTCGCAAGGAGTGTGACGGCATGTCCAGCGTTAATTTTACATTCCGCGGCGTTGCAAGGCACGACGTTGCGTGACGTTCGTCGTTGTTTTTACGGTCAGAAGTATCCGTCAGAGAGTGAGGATGTTCCGGCATGATGTTGTAGAATCAAGCCATCACGTAATTTAAACCTATTTACATTGATCTTAGTAAAAAACCGAGAAGATCGTAAAAAGTAGTTCCCATCATAATAATCACATTTGCATAATCTATGTTTCCTACTATACAGGAAACGCGCGGGGAGCGCGTTCAAAAGGAAAGGAAAGATATTTCATCCGATCGTACGTGATACAGGAACATAATGTTTAATTATGTATATTAATGGCGCAATTATACGTCGTATAGAGTTGCTTTGTAATTTTAAACTCTTCAAAAAGACACGAAGGCTCGGGATAATTGCGCCGTATGTATATTCGAGCGCGTGAACGAGATGGTGGATCGCGTGAATTGCGTGAAACTTCAAGACAAAGATTGATCGATACATCGACCGATGCGATCACAGCCCAGCGCGTGCGATACGCGACAAGAATAGTTTGACCCAGACCTTAAGAGATTCCGAGGTCGGTAGCCGCGTGCCGAGAGTGGCTTTTATATTTCATTCGCCCAGCCTTGACGACGTGGCGGCTTTGGGTTCCCCTCTCAAAAAAATCCGATGTTTCTCTAAAAATATCGTCTCTTCCTGTCTCTCTTCCTCCCTCGAAAAGAAACAGAAGTACAAAAAAAAATATATATATATAGTAGACCATAGTAGCCGCTATAGTAGACACTTCTTCGATACATCGCGATAGTGACGAGAGAACAAAAAGTTGTAGCCTAGATAACAAAAAATTAAGCGAATGAAGTTAGCGAGTGTAGTCTCGAGCATAGTCTTGAAGAGTCTCGAATAGTGTTCATGCGACTCGGTAAGAGATTCGATGATCGCGATTTACTTCGATCGAAGAATCTCGGGACGTGGCGCATCGCGTTCCTTGGCGGATTTGCAAATGTAAATCGAATCTACCGCCTATTTGTCTCGCAGCGCAGTTCTCGTTTTCTTACATTGAAGATCTACTCTTCACTCGGTTTCAGGAGAACGTTAATCAGCTGCCGAGATTCGACCACGTTCGTAAAGTGAAGATCCCGATTGTTCCGACTGTGTCGTCGTCGTCGTCGTCATCGTCGTCGTCGTTGTTGTCATCGTCATTATTGCTGTTTACATCACCATTGACCGCCGATCCGCTGACGCCGCGTGGTACCGAAACCTCGATGCGCTTCTGAGATGTTCCTCCCGCGAGCATCGAAAAAAGGATCGCAGTGAAGCTGGCACAACAGACGTAACGTTATTGCACACGTATGAGGCACGAAGCAAAGGCAGTATCTAGCAGGGAGTATTTGACGCACCAACGAGCTATGATATCCGCCCTTGAACGTTCGGCCGCGATCGGCGTGATGCGTTTCGATTCTCTCGTAGCCGGCTAGCCCCTATGTAATAACCTCCTGAACCAGGCGGTATGGTCGAGGTTCTCCGAGGAAGATAAGAAGACCGCGAGGCGAGATTCGCGCGTTCTTTAATGGACGTTGTGCTGCTGATCCCGGTTATATTCTGCCGGCGAGCTGCGCTCCGCGAGGAAAACAAGATTCAAGAGAAGGAAGAGGGACCTTGAGATCTCCTCCTGTTGCGCGAGGGTTTTATGGGTGTATACGAAGGTACGAAGGAGAGACTCGCTTCGAAATATTCATTCGCCGCGAACGAATAATCCTCACTCTCTCTCTCTCTCTTTCTGTCTCTCTGTCTCTCTCCTTTCTCTCTTTCTCTCTCTCTCTCTCTCTCTCTCTCTCTCCTTTTCCCTCTTTCTCTCTCTTTTCTTTGCCTTATTCTTCGATGACGCTCTCAGGATGATCGATTGAGGCGACAACGCGCGCGGCACGGTCAATGCGAGAATCGATCTCCTGGTGATACATCCTCGGTGATACGCCGTCGAACAGCAGCGCCAGGGAACCAGGAGAGCACGCGGACGAGACGGATGCACGCGTGCACCGCCACCGGCGGAATTGCAGAGATGTCGCGAATTTCGAATCGCGTTGCCACGATCGGCGCGGCACTCGCCATCGTTTTGCTCGTGATACTGTTGGTAATATTGTGGTCGGACGTGCGCAACATGGATAGGCTCGAGCCGGATGCCGCTCGAATACGGAAGAATTCAACGGTCGAGCGCGTCGTCAATGAGACGTGGAGGAAGCAGCAGCAGCAGCAAGCCGGTCTGCGCGTCACCACGCATCTCGTTAGCACGTTCGGTCAGCCGCCGATCGAGCACAACTTCACGAACGAAGGTGAGTCCAGCGAGTCCGTGTCTCTCTTCCTTTTTCGTTTGCTTCGCGCCCGGACACGGCGTCGTTTTGTTTCACGTTTAAGCGCGATCAACCCGCTAATTCACCCCCTCGTCGACCACATCATGCTGCGGCTTTGCTCTTACGAACTGTTAGTTCCGAAAGATTACGAGTATTCATTCGAGCGAACGCTGCGGTTCTCCAACTTGATCATCCGCACCGAACGTCTTATCGTTTGTCTTTTTCCGGTCGAGCGAATTTTTAGACGTGCACTGAAAGGATCTCACAAGATCGAGATTATCGCGGATGCGCTGTGTAACGGACGGCTCGCCATGATGTTTTTCGAGGAGTCCTCGGGGCTCTTTCCGAGCGTAATGAAATGGCACGAGTTCACCGGGCGGTAGGCCGGCTAGATTAATACGCTCGAGTGGTCTAGAGAAAGTTACAACGAAGTATATATCTCAAGCACGAGACGACCTTGTAAGGCCGCTGCTCTAAAGCGCGCACACCTACACTTACATTCGTTCTTACGGATATACTCGCGTGTACATGTTCTTCTAATAGCGCAACGATTTTATACGTTTCCACTGAGTGCAACTTTACGGCTAGGATTGGGGAATGTACAGGGTGTTCATTTGAAAACTTTCCAGCTAATTATCTCAAAAACTACGAAAAATATTAAAAAAAGCTAAAACACGTGTTCTATGATTTCGAAGAGGAAAGAGAATGGCATTATCAGTTTTTTATTTAGAGGGCATTTTCAAGATCAGTTGTAGGTCAACTTAAGTTTTTAAATTAGAAAGCCCAATTTTTTATTATATTTTCTTTTTCTACCTAATTTCTAATTAATTTTAACAACTTTTGTCCGAAACATTTTTTCATTTGCCTAATATTTTTTGAAATATTTAAGGAAAACTTGGTAACTTTTTCAACATTTAACTTACGATATCTCGCTAACTATTCGTCGAAAGAAAAAATAGTATTAGACTTTTTTACTTTATTTACTATCAAGAATATATTACTATAATAATGTCCTAACTTTTGTTAATTTAATAATTTTGAAATTTCCAAAGGTCGATAAGTTAAAAAAAGTTAGCTTTTTTAATATCTTTCATAGTTTTCGAGATAATTAGCTGGGAAGTTTTCAAGTGGATACCCTGTATAACGTGAATACGAAATGTATACGATCTCTGTGGCGTAGAAAAGAACTATTTCTGCCGACCTGTACCGCAATATCGTTCGTAATGATTCGCATTTCTGAAAAGGAAAAAGTCACCCACGCTTTCTGTCCAGCTTGTGCACAGATCAACAACAGTCTTGACGTGCGCGGTAGGAGTATATAATACAGTTAATATTTTTTCATTGTACCGATTTGTTTTCGGAAGTTGGCAACAATGCTCAGTGACATTCATCAGTAACAAGTTATCATCTTGGTACGTCGTCCTCATATTTTGAATAATTGATGAATGACGAATTAATCGTTCGTACGATTCGAAAGCACAAGCTAATTGCGTTGAGTGTTGAGGTTATTACGCCGGTCTATGTACATAAAGATTTGTGTCACGAGTTTTCTCGAGTTTCGCGAATTTTTTTTAATGAGTGAAAGCCGGCATTCATTACATTACCTCGTCGTTCACAGTTTTATAACTGAGATACCCACGCGTAATACTCGCGATTCAACTACGTTTCGAGATTACACGCTTCAATTTCTCTCTCTCCGGTTTCGGTCGAATATTCCGAGAAACGATATCGCTGTGTTAAGGTAGATATGTACGGTTTTGCGAATTCGTCCGGCCGGGCGGGCGTGCTCGTTAAAACGCATACAACGCATAATCACGGCCGCCTCGCGTGACATCGCGTGTCTGATAAGACACATTTGCATGGCCACGTTGGCAGAGCACGACACAAAACATCGCGCGCCTAAGAGAGCGCGCAGTCGAACGGGCATGCTCAATACGTACGTCGCTGCGAAGAGAAAAGCGAGGAAACATCGGTATAACTGAAGGTGTGCTGCGAACGCCTCTAGAAGTGCGTACGTCGTGAAGGCTCGTGTTACTTGCCAGGGTCAGCAGATGCGGATATCACGCGTTAAACGAAGCGAGCACGACGTTGTCCTCGGTTGGCTCGCGGCGGCTTAGGTCGTGTTCGCGCGCACATGTTTCTAACTCGTCGACTACGAGCACGAGCCGTACAGCACGATTTCGATAAGTGGGTAAATCTGTTGCGCCAAATATTTCGCACGTTCAAGCACGTCGAGTACGACGATGTGAAAGAGGAGGATCATGTATCATGTGAGAAAGAGAGACGCGTTTTGAGCTACGCGATTAAATGTCATTACGGTAAAGAGAGAGAGAGAGAGAGAGGGGGGAGAGATAGAGGGGAGGGGGAGAGAGAGGGAGAGGGGGAGATAGAGAGGGGGGAGAGAGAGAGAAAGAGAGGGAGAGGGGGGAGAGAGAGAGAGAGAGACAGAGAGAGAGAGAGAATATCGGTTAGCCCGGGATCGTTTTTGTTTTGTTAATATCGCAAGGTTGAATTGTACAGTGAATATTTTCATTTGAAATTGGAGAATGAGACCGGTGTGTCATTCTGTCGCAAGGACAAATTCGCTCTGGATTGAGAAAATTTACTCTAGGTCAAAGTTAAAAATATTCACTCTGGCGATTTTCCGAGTTGCGAGTAATTTCACTGTCGCTTTAAACGAATTTTCGCTCGTTTCGTGTGAGATTTCACTTCAAGAAACTCAGAGAGTGTAAGCGAACGAGCGAACTCCACTTCGTTTTACCACGTCTTCAAATCATTTTCTGAATATTCATTGATATCCTTTGTTCTCTCTGCATGATTTATCGAGTCGACGATAGATCCGTATTTCGTAGGCGTCAGAAACACTAACGTGAATACGCAGATGTTCATGTAATTTCTCCCTCACTCAAATATGAGAATAGAAAGTTTGAGGATAAAAAAGGAGATTTTTTGCTTTATATACATGAAACTCGCGTTGCAGTGTACAACAAAGCAAAACAAATGAGCAAGTTAAGAGGTTAAACATAATCGTCATGCCAATAACACTAGAAGAAATAGTTGAGCCATAACGTAACGCAATCTCTTCGTGTTGTTCGCAAATGAATGATGCTTCGCTCTTTCTCTCTCTCTCTCTCTCCCTCCCTCTCTCTTTCTTTTGTTCTTTTTCGATCGTTAGGTATCGCTAGATACCATATGTTCATACGATAGTACCGATTTCGTAATGCCGCGCGTGATACGCGACTCATTCGCTACGGAGGAAATGCGAAAGGTCAACGATGCTTTGTGGTGAATATCTTGAATATTAATTGTGAATATTGATATTTTTTATTCAAAATCTTTTTCTCGCGAAATATCCGAGAGAATTTTTTTTCGACGTATGGATCCCAAGTTATTAGATATGTGAATTAATTCGGTCCATCTGGTGGCCAATTGCTGTACTATGTAATTTTCTAACCTCTAATGTCTGCAAAAGGCTTAATTTTTAGGTTTTAATATCTGGCAATAATATTCAGTTGATAAACGTTTAGGTTTGTAACAATAACATCGTGTTTATCTGATTCGAAAATGTTGAAATTCGAGCCAAAAAAGCATCATTTCCGGGAAGTTCTCATTTTCATTTAAAGAAAACAGCCGCTGAAACTCATCGAATGCTCGTAGAAGCTTATGGTGAAAATGCTCCTACCGATAAATCATGCAGAGAATGGTTTCGACGTTTCAAAAGTAATAATTTCAGTGTCGATGACAAACCTCGTCCAGGCAGCCGAAGAAGTTCGAAGACAAGGAATTACAGGCGCTAATCGATGAAGATCGGTGTCAATTGCAACATGAGCTCGCGCAATTGTTGAATGTTGATCGATCAACAATTGCTGTGCGTTTGGCAGCCATGGGAAAGATATACAAAGAAGGAAGATGGATGTCATACGAACTGAAAGAAAGAGACATCGAGAGACGAAAAGCTATGTCTGAAATCTTGCTTGCCAGGCAAAAAGAAAAGGTCTTTTGCATCGTATTGTGAGTGGAGACGAAAAGTGGATATATTTCGATAATCCCAAACGAAGGAAATCCATTAGCGACCCAGGAAAACCATCCACATCGATATCAAAGCGAAATATTCATGGCAAGAAAGTAATGCTATGTATGGTGGGACCAAAAGGGTGTATCATGAACTATTAAAACAGAGCCAAACCATCACTGCCGAACTTTACCAACAACAATTGATCCGTTTAAACAATACATTGAAGAATAAGCGGCCGGAATATGCAAAGAAATAAAGAATGGATCGCTTTGAAGGACGAGTCGTTTTTCCATCACGGAATGGAACAACTGCCAGACAGATAGGAAAAAGTAATAGCAAGCGATGGCAAATACTTTGATTAGTGTACTTTTTCATGTTTTTTCATACTAGAGTCTTTTTTTGGAAGAAAATAACGGACCGAATTAATTCACACACTTAATACAACAACTCGACATTCTTTGTCAATTTAATTTGCTGCCAGTCGGAAGTTACGCGCACACCAAATTTTACGACGTTCGACCTATCCTGCGTATTTCGACGTCCGATAAATGCAGAAAATAACAGGAAATAACCAAAATTGAACTCGGTAGTTTGTTTGTTTAAAGCGGGAGAGAATTGTGCTTTGACCGGATTAAACAAAGAATGTTTTAATAGGTGGTTGACGAAACGCGTGTCGCTTCCTTGATTGGCTTAAGCGCCGAGCGATATACGAAGCACCGTTAATTCACGGGAGAAGTTTACTCCCGAGGACGATGGCGTCGCGAACGCCCAGGACGTCCGATACTGCCGCCAGACGTTTAGAGCTTTCGTCCGTAAACATTTCGACCGATCCACAAAAGTCGGATCACCTCAGCTTTGCTACACGCAGGATATATCGGTCGCCCGGTCATAATTCACGTCTAAGACCATTCGAATTAAAATAGCCGAAGCCAGCTGCCACTCTGAACGATACGATAACGTTCGATGG